TGCATGGCAGACAGGTCGAGTAGTGTATGCTGCATGGCACTCGGGGAGGGTCGGGCACTCTGTGATGACGGCCTCTTCGCAATACGCTGTACCCAAGAGGGCATCCAAGTGAAGAGACTTTTCCAACCGCATCCCCTCTCACTTCTCCTGTAGATGGTCAGAGACCTCCGCCAGCGCCTGGCCACTGTCGAGCCCCGGACCCTCGATTCCGACCGGAACGTCTATGCCGCTCTCAACTGGGGGCTCAAGTCCCTGCCTCGCTCCGAAGTGAAGTACCTTCCCGTAGGGACCTACCGGAACCTCCTTGGTGAGGCCCGTTGGAGAGCCGTTGTGATAGAGTGTGCACCACTTAGGGAACGACAGGCTGGTCACCAGCTATGATGCTCGTACCATGTTGAAGGCGTATCGAGCCACTCCTCCACTGGGAGAGGCCGAATCCCCGGAGGTAGCTCTGGAACATTTGCTGAGGATCAGAGCCAACGTTCTGGAGGAGAAACTCGCCATGACGGAAATTGATGTAGGCGACTTGCAGGCTCCTGGGTGGTTGTTGGTCAGAGTGTACTTCACAGTGACTGATGTCTTGTTACGGGAGGCCCGTGAACTTAGCAAGAGTTTTGTTCCATATGTGCTCTAGATGAGCGAATACAGGCCCCCTTCTAGAGGCGCGCTACATGAGCATCGTAGGTACGATCGGAGGTAGCAGTAGGGTATCTACCATTGCTGAAGACCTGTATCTACTCTCTCAAGACGGTCACCCCCTATACGGCGGGAGAAGACGTTATGAACGCCATCATGGCCGGCGACTTGGCCGCTGTGGCTGAGGTCCAGCTCCAGGGGAGAGATCGGCGATCGACTCTCGACAAAGTCAGCGAAGGGAGGAGCGGAATGGATTCTCGCTCGCCCGATAATAGTAAATGCTCCTTCACTCAGTGTCGTGAATGGCTACCGCCTATCCCATCGTATTCGGAGAAGCTGGACGCGCTGGTAGAGCGGTGGATGAAGGAGAGATATTATTCGGACCCGATACCGTACGTGGAGGGTGGCTTATGGATGCTCCTCGTGGTGCATCGTCGTGGTGGTAGTTATGGTCATCCCCTTCAAGTGCCGCCGGCTTGGAGTCGGGTCATGCCACAATTGTCGAGACCACGGCATGCAGTGGATGGAAGTATTGCTGCACAAGGTGACCAAAGTAAGGAGGGGGTATCACTCCCCCATGTAGGGGGATGTAGCGGAGTTGATTGATGCTCTCAGTGGCCATGGCGGAGGGTCCGATGGAGGTGTGGTCGCAGCCCGGTCAGGCCAAGATTGACGGTGTGGAGGATCTGGGCCCAGAGGGGGGTCGAGAGCACCTTCTAGTGAACCCGCTGAAGTTGGCCGGGACCAGGTCGGTTGGGCTTGAGTTCCCTTCAGTGAGCATGGCCCTTAGAGGGGAGAAGAGCATCAATCCTATGCTGGCCTTCGAGCTGATGGATGCCGTCGATAGAGAGGCGAGGGCCAACGGGGTACCTCTCGGTAGGTCAATGCCCCATGGCACTCCCGGGACCATGGCTTCAGGAGACCCACTCATGGTGGAAAGGATGGTCCAAGAGAATCTCCCTTTGGATATAGTAGGAGGGAGAGACCTCGTGGGTAGAGAGGAGGAGATGATACGAGACGTTGATAGCCGACTCCGCAATCTCGGCCAATCATGATTAACAACATGTTCACTATTGGCGTCTCCATGGGCATTTCCCGGTTGAGTTTTAACCCGCCTGGCTCAATGCCGATGTCATTGACGGGCTTGCGAAGTGCTCCTCACTTCAGAGCGACACTTGAGGTCTCAGAGTAGGATTCAGCAGCACCCTAGAACTTTCTCAACGTCAGCTCAATTCTAGTAGCAGATGGGGCCAGTCCGGATCCGACGTCCTCTGCCGACGACTGTGATATCGCGCCGCCTGAGACTGTTTTGAAGGAATCTTCTCTGCGAGATTCACACGAGCGGAAATCACTCTGCCGGAGTTCGCTAGTATGCGAGAATAGCGGAGGCGCACAGTGATTGAGCTCGGTCAAAGGCAGGCCGATGGTAGCCCACTCGCGTCGATTTCGCGTGGCTTCCCTGGTACTTAACGACTCAGCTAGCTGTAGTTGACACGAGGAGCTGTTTAGATGGAGACTATCGTCAGCCACAGAGAATTGTCGTCTCGATGTTGATGGCGTTTACGCATCATTCTTCGTTGGAATTTACCGATTCGTGGAGTTTCCATGAACACCCCGCACTTGGTTGTTATCGGTATTGCACTCCGCCGATAGTCATTGAACCGTCTACAGTCACTATGGCAGTTGAAGAGGACGCCTCACCTACGAAGCCCACGACTTTGCCCGTACTGCGGAGTAGGCTAGTAGCCTCCGTCAAGCACAGTGATTTTGCATGTTTTCGCTACGACTGGTGTCGCGCGCCATTGAAATCTCGACAAGGAACAACAGAAGATCTCGGGATGTAGCTCGGTGGTCTCTGCTGACTTTCGAGATATTCCATCAGATCCATATTCCGAGAGATAGTGGAAGCATTTGATTCCAAACTCCATAGGGTTCTCTGCACAGGTCGGTCGTCACGTGAGTCTGCGTGCTGCATCCCCGTACTAGGGTACATCCTCGGTGTCAACGCTGAAGATAGCACCGCCGTTCCTGCTGCCTCCACCTACTTGTTGCCGGCTAAATCGGGGCTTGTGCGCGTCTGGGGTCTGCTGGGGTTGTGACAGAATCGCCTAGGTTCTGTCTGAGCTCCGGTCTCTGTGCTCCATGTGCAAGTTGGTGCGAAATGATCAGCGTGTGTGCATCTCAACGCAGGAGGCCAACGTCAGTCCACTACGGAAAACACTGCAGCACGAGACGTAAGCTCGCCTCCGTCTACCTTGGTTCCCTGTGACTCTCATCATCTCGTAGATACTACTATAACGACGTGATGAAGCATCTCTTCAACGAGTATCCGCACGCAGAGGTATGCCCAAGGGGTTTGTGTGCTCCTTCCCGATGCATTCCGCGGATGGTTTCCTCTCTGTTCCAATGGCATAGCGCGGTACCTCACTTGCTTCTGTACATCTAATGATTGAAAAACGCTGTAACAGGCTAACCCTGTGTCGATCTCCGTATGCAACACGAACTGTATTATACAATTTCATCGCAGATCCGGATCTGCTCAGTAGAGGGCACATCGCCCAGCTCACTGTAGTTGCCGACCGTCTCTGTGCCAGGTGGGGCTATCGAGACGTCGACGAGAGCCCCGTGATCCAGTAGCTGCTAGGGAGATCGTTGCCTTACTACTCACAGACAGAACCACTGACCGTGACGCCTCTCATATGCAGTTCATGTGCGCCATTCCGTTCAATGGCAATGCCCGAGCTCCCTCTTCTTTACATCAGATATCAGCTCCTACCCGTCGTGGCGAACATGATAGACCTCGTTGGACCTGTCCAGACGTTCTCATCTAGGCTCATGCCAGCAGCTCCATCCTGTGATGCCGCAGAACGGCTGATGCATGCAACTTCGTCTTCGACTGTCCGAAGCTCTTCCGGTGGGATGATTCAACGCGTCCGACCACAGCGGTATTAACTACAGGTATATATGCATGCACACTGCAACGCCAATCCACCGAGGTGTCTGTGATTGGCCTAGCCTACTGTACGCTCTTTTGGAACAGCCCGATGCGCAGGCGTACCTCTCTCCCCTGCTCACCAAGATGTGTCGTGATGAAGTCGCGCTCCGAGTTATCGATCGAATGTAAGACCTAATCTCCTACCATCGCGCGCATACCCCCTACATTCACTTTATGTCAGATCATCATCTGACGAGACCAAGCAGCCCCTGCTCATCAACAGCGCTGAGTGTCAGCTTCGAGCTATTGGCCCGGCCACTTTAGATCGTATCACAACTCTCTTTGGCCATCGAACTGCTGCTATAGTGCGCCAAAGGAAGAATAGAAGTTCGTGAAGGACGGGAATGATCGACTTCATCCGCTGCGTTCCCCCCTCTGTCCCATAAACGTAACCATGACCATGCCTTAACTAACCGCTCCCGCTGGAGTTGAGCAGTGTACATGTTCGTCCTGGCGTGCTGATCTGTCGCCAACTTGTGTTCAGCTGAATATCCATAACGGTGTTGCAGTCCAGGCATATAGGAGCGTAAAACATATTTCGGTGAAGCCGTTCCTGCTGACGTCATTTTCCTTCTCCCGCATTGGATCTCCCTAATTGGTGGGATCCCCAACGATTACTACTGAATCGTTGGTTGATGGAGGTGTTGTCTCGGAAGCGACCGAAGATGGAGAAATTCGCACATAGTCAACCACACGTGTTGGTGACAATATGAAATTTCTGAGGAAATTTCGGGAAATTTTGGCTGGTTTTTGTACACTGTTAACCCAATTCTTATGTAGTCTTAGCTCAGCTGAGGAAAGCGAACATACATTCCAACATTGAAAGCTGATGCAGCGATACCGATTTTCATGCTCATCGGTTCACGATAATCATGCCCTGACCTTCTGCCTCACAATGGGCCTGCTTGACTACCTACCATTCATTACACACAGTCACACCGTGGGACCTTCCTTGAAAGACCTCGAAAGAGTAGGCGTTCTCGATCGAAGATTATGTCACCGCTGTGTTCCCTGCGCAGTTGGTCGCGGTCGAAGCCGAAGCGGTGGTCGATGGGCATCCAGCAATCACTCCGCAAGATGTCAGGCACCGTCCTGTTACTGCATACCATTTATTCCGAGTCTTTTCATCACTCTATCATGAACTGTTACCCTGATGACGATTCTCGTTTGTGATGACCCCCTCTAGTACTTGCCATGCCAGGTGAGGTCCTTAGACTTCCTTTCTAAGCTGGCATGGGGCCAGCCGGTGCATCTCCGACAGTCAGAGCTAGTTTACACCAAGTTGCCAACGTGAGTGTGACCTGCTCGGGGATCGCAGTCTAGTGTTCCGGTCCTAGAATAGACCAAGTGGGACCACTCAAGAACGTGAAGGTTGTCCCAATACCAAAGGCACAAGGCCCAGCCGAGTGGTGGAGCGGTGGAGTGAACATCATGCGCCGTAATGGGAAGGCTCCCAACGGCGGTGTCACAGACATCGCTGCTGTGACTTAGATGGTCCAGCGGACAACCTCGTCGTCAAGGTAGAGGACAATCTTTGCGAGGACGGCTCTATGGTAGGGTTTCGATGATGGCGGTGAACGAATACGCTTAGTCAGTCGACACAGTGCACGGCTCGCTTCACGGTGTGCAAGTTGGAGACCTCAATGGCTTTACCTGTACGGCTTGGCTTCTCTGGCAAGCCTCTGCATACTGCTTCGTGTGAATTGACGAAATCAGAAGAGACCAATCCTGGGATAACTCGAACGATAGAGGGGCTGTTTTGAGGGATTAATAGGTGTACACATTGAGCATGGATGTCACCGTGTTTCGCCTAATTCATGACCACAAGGCAAGCGCACACACCTTGGTTGTAATCTACTATCGATCTCGCTGACCGAGCCAGCACACCACCCAATACAGTCATCACAGCTGTATCGTGATTTTGCAGCCGCTGCGCGATGGGCTCAGCCTTCGCACCCTATGAGCCAACTTTGTCCCCCTAACTCTGAAATATGTTCCGATCGTGGGCATATAAATGAGCCCTTGACTACGTTCAGGTGCTCACATATCACCCGACCATCCTCATGAACATCCACCCGACTTCCCAACAATTGTCTTCCCCCTACCCATGGAGAGGGTGCATGTCTCCTTGTCGGCATCGGGGCAAAAGTTTTGGGATGCCACGTGAGTCGCGACTCACCCCAGTGTCTGAGTGCGTTATGTGTACTGTGTAGCTACGACCTCCACGGCGGCACCAAGCTCTCACCAGAGCTCGTCCTGCCATCGGGGAAGCCATTTCACCCACCCCTTCCAGGTGACGATGGACGTCGGCGCCTAGGTTATGGGAACAACATCATGGCGCCTGGCCATAGTGATGGCCCTCATATGTTGAGCCGATCAGGGTTGTAGGTGATCCCCCGAAAGTGACCCTGATCGGCTCTCGCAGCCCTGTGCCCAAGATGTTCCCATTGTGTGCTCCCGACCACGGTCATTATCGTTATCAACTACACATTCAAGGAGAAAGGTCCTTGTTCTGAGTAAAGCAGCCCATCACATGCCTCCTGAAAGATACCAACCATTGGACGTCAAAACGCTGTGGCCCATCTATCCTGGGAAGGCAGGTCACAGGTGGGATCGCGACAAGCCTCTTCCACATTGTACAATCCAGCTTAGCACGGTGACGCCAGTTCCAGAAGAGAAGACACATTACTCGGTTTGCGGCAAAAACAACTTGGCCGAGCTTTGCCCCTTTATGAAACAAGGCGGAATAGCGAATTTCGAAAAGTCAGTCCTCGCCACCGTGCCTGGCCATATTGTTCTTATTCGCCGTTCAGGCACATGTTAAAACAGATAGAGCCGCGTATCGACGCCGTTGTGCATAGAGTAAGGTCGGTGGCCTACTCAGTCACGGTGACGACAACTCAGGTCGTTATCGAACCCAATCGACCCGAGCCATTGCATGAGCCTCATGTCGCCACCTTGGGGCCGCACTTCGGGAAGGTCCATCTCCCTCGGCCCTACCAAGAAGCCATAGACCGGCTGGATCGTAGGAAATCGCCATCAACAGTCCCGTGAAGCCCCTTGTAGATACAAGACGCCCTGCGATGAAGACCAACCCATTCGGTATCCCCATGTACGAGCTCCGATCGGGCCCGCATGAAGCGAAGCACATCCTCGACCACCGACACGCCCATCACGACCGGGACCAAGACGCTGTAGATTTCCCAAAGAGTTTCCGCGATGTGGCGAAGAGGAGAGACAACTGGGAAGAGGTGAACGCGTATCTCGAGAAATGAATCGAGTCCCGAATTGGACCCGTCGGTGGAATCAGATACGAGTCAGCGCTCTCCACAACGGGAAGATGGGCCTCTTTGACGCTCGTCATCCGCCGAAGAATCTCGAGGCCGTGGACAGGGAAGCGTATGAGTGCTCCGGATGTCGTGGCTCAGTAACTGCCTCAGTTACTCTGAGACTTACCCCCTATATGACAGAAATCGGATGCCTCCAGAGCTCCGTCATCCTGCTCATGATTACGAAGGCTTCCATGACCACATAGGAATCTTGTACGAATCGACACGCCGCGAAAGCACAGGACGAAAGCTCTGTCAGGCATCCTTCTATTGAGTTTCGGCACTGGGTGCATTACGCCAAAGTCAAGTTGGTCGATCTTGACACACATGAAACTCTATGGGATAAAGTCTATGAGGTGGAATGAGCCAGGCTGACGGATCTCGACTTCGATAGTATCAGGTTCATGGTCACAAGGTAGCGGCAGATCAAAGAGACATCGGCGGCCCAGTCGAGTTTAAGGGACTGGACCCACGCCTGGGCAAACTGGATATGTGGGAACTACCAGTCGTGGCAATTTATTTCCTCATCTCAGTTCACATTAATGTCTCAGCACTATAGTCTCACAGGTTCAAACTCACTGTTGATGCCGATAGTCCCCATATTTCTCCCGAGTTTGGCACAAGGCCGACGTCGCATTTGAGTGACCACATCTCATCATTGCATCTCATCGATCGATTCGAGCAATCTCAGACGATGTCCATCAGAGGGAGATACGCGGCCTCACGAATCGCCTTGATCATTATATCGCAAACCCACCACAATCTCGATCTAGCCCGAGCACGCTAAAACACACCAGTCACGGATCGATATACCCTCGTGAGCCACCGTGTTCCAGCGTTAGTCTTAGGGTCCCATCGTGTGTCAGGAACAGGCGTGAACTCGGCGCGTATGTTCGACTATTGGCGGAAGCAAGATTTTCTATTCGGTGCTGCTCGGCCGGTGAGATCTCTCACGATGCCCCTGTTCGTCAGACCTAGCACTGTTCCTCGCTTAGGTCGTACAGGGCTCAGCATCCATTGCAGTAGTCGATCCAGTGCCTGGTGGTCACGCTGAGGCTACCATGCTGCAACCACAGCCGGTCACTCCTTGATGACGTTGACTTAGGATTCGCTATTATAATCTCAGGTGCACAAGACTGGATCGTTGCTATGGAAGGCGGAGTAACATGCATGAGTATTCGATAGTGTCTAGTGAATCTTGTCGGGTTGTGTACACAGTATCGGGAGGTAATGCCACTCATGAAACAGGCCGCTGCGCACTCAAACGATGCCGCTACGCCATTCTTTGATCACAGCCCTGTTGAATCCAACTTGTGTCCTCAGTATGCACTCCATACTCGTGTACGACGAATTGCTCTACACTGTGGAGTAGTTCGATGTAGACGTATCCATGTGGACTGCGTGTCGAATGAAACCTTCCCGGCAGCATCTCGCCGAGTCCAGGACTGATAGTACTACGGCTGAGACCCGAACCGACGCGATCACGGTCCTTTGATGCAAGGTTTCCATATCAAAAACTTCAGAGTCGATGACTCACGGTTCATGCATTCCATTCGCGTCACAAGACTGCCGATCTCTCTTCACGAGGTGAGCGTTTACGCGTTACAGGTTTGATCGTAACGGACTCTACCAGCCATTCGGTGCTTCAACCAGTGTGACTCAGGGAGGTCAGTACTAATGGACGCAACACAGCCTATATTAAAGCGGGATGTCCCGTAAAAAGAGTATTCCTACATCAAAAAGTGCTCGAGTTTTATTCTATTGGAATATCAACTCGGGCTGATCGGCAATGAAAAGGTCAGTACCAGCTCGAGCAGCACGCAGAAAGCTGGAGGTTTATCTTGACCTTCATTCCGCAAAATGATGAGCTTAAATCATATAACAAGGCCACTGTGGATGAAGCTGTGCGGGTGTATACCCGTTACTATCTCGCGCCATGTTGACATCGCGCAGGTCTGAAAGAGGCCAACTCATCAGAAGGAGTAGTGATGAGTAGCTTACTTTTTCCATGATCCGACTCTCGATTACGGCTCTCGGAACGGCCAGCATACGAAGCAATCTGCCATAGAGCAAAGCGTCCGATGTTGGGAATTATCGTCCCAGTACTCACCAGCCTCACGATATTCTCAGCACCAAGCTGATGGGCATAGTGTAAAGGCGTGCTTCCAGCTCTGAGAGATGACAGTAATCACCATCCTAGTGCACACTCCAACTTACGCAAAATTGTTCTCGCCAACAGTGATCGAGTAGTTAGTCCTGATGGACGGATCAGCGCCATTCTCCAACAATACTTGTGCGATGTCGTATTCAAGGAAGCCCACAGCAAAATGAAGTGGAGTCTCACCGTCCTGAATAACACAGCAACTGTATTCCCCCAGTGAGCAGTAAATGAACGCAGCCCTCCTGACCGACTAGCCGTGAGCCCGAGAGCTCACCCCATCTTGTGCATTGGGTTGTGCTCCATGCTTAAGGAGGGCACGAACGATTTGGAGACGAGTACGGGAGGCACCGTCCTGTCGGGCGACGGCGCAGATGAGAGGATTGGCACCCTCCTGAGAGAGTTGGGGTTAACTCAAATCTTCGTATTGAAAACTCACTCTCCTTGTGAGCTTAGTGGGATCAGCTCCTTGTTCCAGCAGGAAGTTGACGATTCTACCATGGCCCTTGTACGCCGCCCAGTGCAGAGCAGACCAGCCCAGCTAAAAGATGACTTTGAATGAACAATGACGACCGCGATCTTAGTGCTGCTTACTTCGTCGGTGGAGTCTATCATAACAGTCGAGGTGGAAGCCTCGACACTGCTTTTGATGAGATCTTTCATTCTGTCGAGTTGCCCAAAAATTGAGGACTGAATCAGGCTTTCGATTCTGTGCATCCTCTTCCCGATCGCCGTCAGAGAATTCTCGATTCTGGTTCTCTCGTCTGGTGTCAACTCTCGCCCGTCATTCAACAAGGAAAATAGGCCTGTGGTGACAAAATATTTCTCGCAATGTGTGAGACAGCAGCACCTCGTCTTCCCTCCTCAAGCGAGGCAATATCGAAATCATCGGGGCTTAGAGCAGTTGGACATAAAAATTCCTGAACGCTCGCCTCACACAGACCGAGAGCCACAAAAGCGGGAGACACACCTGTGTGGTGGTACTTTCACAGTCTGCTGGTGAGGGCATCATAGATCGATCACATGCAGATTCGATGGGTGCATGAGCATCTCCTTGTTCCCAAGGTGCTCGGGTGTTGCCTCTGAGGAGGAGGCATTCTACCAAGATGTGACAGCCGCTATCCCACTCGATATGGACTCCCATGCAGTTGTACTCTTGGTCAACGGGATCCGGGTTGGATGGAGCATTAGACGAACGAAGAATAGACAGAATTTCTTGATCGTCATAGCCGTGTGCCAGCTCTACTGCTTTCAGCAGCTGAAAGAGGGCAATGGAGATAAGCATGAAAATCATCAACAGTGAACACTCACTTGCTCAGTGCTGATAGCAGGTTTGTATCGGACTAGGGCTTCCACGGCATCCTTTTGTCTCTGCTGGACAGCCAGGACCAAGGCTGTACGCCCACACTGAGATGCCACACACAAAAGCCGTTAAGATGACACTCTCCTCCGCTAGCCCAAACTCACACTGTCCTCGGCATTGAGGTCAACCCCCCTTTCAATGAGGAGCTGAATCGTGCGAGGATGTCCGTTCACCGCAGCGAAATGGAGAGCAGTTTGACCGTTCTGGGAAAGCTCTATTGATTCGATCACGAATTCATATTCCCTCACCTCATTAACTGTTCCAAGGTCAGCTCCACGAGCTATCAATGTGTTGAGCTCGGAAAGGTCACCCGTCGAGGCAGCCAACTCTAGGTCAGTCCAGCCCACCAGACCGCGTCTAATCCCGGACTCGGCGCCAGGCGAGCAATTAAAGAATCTGGAAGCGTAACCACTGCGATGAGCTCCGTGTTCGATAGGTTACCTCTGGGACTGATACTGAACAGCGTGGTGGTGGAGTAGGGCAGAAGACGCAGGGCCAGCGAGCCCTCCGAAAGTGGTGGTCATAGAAATGGCCCCTCTTCGAGGTGCATAGGATACAACAGGGCGCATCCAGGAACAGAATTTGGGCATCGTTGACAACATCTTTCATGTACTGAACTGAGATCCAATAACACGTCCGTGCAAGATCGACCTTTACAAAATGCTTTCTCCAAGATTCGAAAGCGACGTGTGCATGCGTGCAAGAACACAACATGGGCGTAATAGATTAAGAACTGCATATTAACGCCGTCGCCGTGCCAAGACACTTTTTGATGGATGCCTCTCTAGGTGGTATTCCTATTACTACCCATGATAGGAATAACTTATGGTGACATTGAGAAAACTCCTTTCGTTAGATAAACAAGGTTAGCACGCGTGCACAACCATGTGTGAAATTCGAATACGGGGCCTATCGACATTAGCCAGCACAACACGTTGAATAATATGGTGTCAGAAGCATCTACATAATAATCAACGGACACTCAGAGGATCGAGGGGGAAGGATGGACATCATAGACCTGGCGAGCCCTCTCTAGATGCGCTCCACTGGACAAGATGACTCGGTGAAGCGAGACAGTGTCACCGTGACACCCCACTGCGAGACAACTCGCAAAGCGAATACACGCAGACAGCATCAGATGCTCAGAAGCTGAGCATAGCAGTCTGACATGCAAGGGGCGGCTCGTCCCCACGTCACCTCCTAGGCTTCGACTCTTCGTCCCTCACAATGCAGTCAAGAACCGGAGGGCAGGGGTCGGTAAATTCCACTGTTTGCTGATTGCGCAGCACTCGGATGACGATACTGAAGTGAACTCACCCACGGAGCCTCATTTCGTCGTCCGAGTTGCATCGCAAAGGGCGTTGCTGTCGAGCCGAAGAGGAATATCCGAACTGCCAGTTTTACGGTATCGCGCATTTCTTTCCGTTACACCGCAAGCGACAGCTGTCTCCAACAGACGATGGACTCTGGAGAGCTGGACGATCACGAGTGGGTGCACTTACGCTCGAAAGGAGCTTCTAGAATGTGAACGTGGTCGCACGTATTTTCAATCATGATCGAGTATCTGATCATGTACAGTTTGACAAGGACCAAGGGTGAACTATAGGGAAGCCTACAGAAAGGTCCCTTCACGATGGGTTCAGCTGTAGAGCGGATTATTCAGAGTAGATCATAATATCTACAAATTCGGCGTCCAAATAGTGACCAGTGATAATGCCAATTTCTTCTCAAACCACTACCAAATATTGTCTTGGTCGCGGCACGCCGTCTTCGGGTTTCACACGTTTGCAAACCTATCCATATCTTATACAGTGTGCCTGCCAAAGATGAAGTCGCTGATATCACAGAGCCGGAGAGAATAGCACACATAAATGGCATAAGCGTCAGCTCCTGTATATCTCACGAAGAGACAGACGCCATAACTCGAACGATGAGGGTTCCGGCCAGGGCGGTACTTCCTATAACCAGAAGCTTTCCGGAAACTTGCGAACCAACGAGACTGCACCACAAGGCGAAGTATCAGACAGAGGGCTGCGGACGAATCTTGCGCTCATGTGGCTGCCCTACTCCCATGAAGATCTCATTAGGACGCGGTCTATTCGATAACATAGTGAATGCTTGGAGACTATAGGTATGCAAACAATACCCTCTACCTCCCACGGCTGCGGTCGTGAGTAGCTGTTGATTCTAAAAACGCCTTTAGCAAATTCAGGAGGGGAAGATGCGTAAAGAAGAATATTAAATCTCGCCGATCCGCACAGGAATGTCCACGGCTAGGGCTGATAGTGAGAATATGTTAGCCTATTGTCCTCAATCTGATGTCATTAAGCAGTTGATAACGAGAACAACTATAATGTACATGGTAATAGGGATACCATGGGTCTTGTCATAATGACGATACAGTGTGCTTCTACGCTCACTCGGGCAATGATAACGGTACATTCATGGTAACACTCAGAATGCTATTCCACACTAGCGGCGCCCACATTAAGAATAATCACTCTTGCTAACTTGAACGAACTCTCTGAATTCGAGCGCACCGATTTCCAAGAACTGGTCGTATTTTGCCGTCGCGACCCTGGTCGTCGAACACGCAAAATCTACACGGCTAGCGATTCAGGAAGTGTTCCAACGTGCGCTCCCCAACGTGATCATCACGCCCATGTTACCGACTTGCATAGCGAGTGACAACTCTAGTGACGCTGGACACGAAATATAGTGTCGCGGTATCAGTTAATGAACTCTAATAACAACACAACAAGGGAACTCGAGTTAGAGCAACCAATAGTACGACCCTAGGACGATAAAAATAAGTGCACTACCTGCATTTAAGTTCTGTACGAATACCACACTATGCTCAGCACAGTAATCGATATTGGGCTCATTCGGTGTAAAGAGGAAGGCGAAGGTTTG